TCTGCTAAGCTGACTGGAATAAATTGCCCTGGAAATTTGAATTTCTTCTTCTCTCCCTCACTCTCTCTCTCCTTCTGCCCCTCGCTCCCTCTCTCCATCCCTCTCTCCCTCCCCCTTCCTTCCTTCTTCCATTTTTCCTTTTCCACCTTCTCTTGCTTTCTTCCCTAATTCCTTAGGTTCATTTTATGCATAACTGATTTGTCATGTTATTTGCATTCATTTTGTCTCCTTTTGTACATTTTGAGTCATTCTAACTATAGAGGAAAAATCCTGAAAAAGACTTCATCCCAATATCTACTTCTATGGGATTGGTATTCTGTAAAGCTAAACTCCTAGATTCAAAACAGTTCTTGCCAAATCTATAATAACTACCTTATTTCAAAACAGCACTATATTTGGCTGCTGAGATAAATAGTTAATGTGTATGCTACCAAATCTGATAAACTGAGTTCAAAGTTTGGGACTCTGGTGGTGGAAGGAGAGAGTCCACACCAGTAACCTGTGTTCTGACTTCCACATGTTAGTCAGGTGTACACAGAAGCATGTGAATGCCTACCCCATTAAATAAATGTAAACAGAGATATTATTTATCTTTTATCTTTTCTGTTTTCCCCTTGTATCTACCTTTTCATTGGTTCTTGTATGGGATCTTGATTGCAAATTTTATTTTAAAAATGTACTAACTGACAATGTTTATTTGATGGCATATATCATAATAGTTCATGTTTAGAAAAATCTGAATATGCTCAAAATACATTTTATACATATATGAGCTCCTGCAGTACCTCTGTTACCTTGCCCCAACTGCTGCCAGTCAAACTCCCATGTTTGTGGTATAATTTCAAGTCTATTTTTATGTCTAAATAGATCTTTATTTTTTCAAAATATGTAATTAATAGAACAAGAATTTGTAGGAACATATTTTGAATAATGTTGTGCTTATAGTATTGCTAGATTTTGTTCTATTTTTAATCCCACAAATTAATGCTACTATAATTAAAACTCATGATTTATTTAAAATTTTTAAGACAAAAATTCTCTATTATGTAGATAGCATAATTTTAATATTCTGAATGTTCATTATATTGAGTGTAGATGAATTTCTAAATGGTCTTATTAAATAAAAATCACAGAGCCAGATATAGGGGTGAAAGCCTGAGAGAGAATAGGGAAATAGGGAAAGTCACAGCTAACCTTACCTCATCAACTCGGTAGCTTCCAAATGTGAGAGACTTCCTATCTACTGATGCCTATATGCCTTGCTGTTCTGCCATCTGATTTTCTCTATCTGTCCAGCTACATTACTTCTTCTTCCTTCCCAGCTCTGTCACTTCCTGTCTGTCTGTACAGACCTCCATGGTTAACTAGTGTTGGAATTTAAGGCGTGTGCCACCACACCTAGCTCTGTTCCCAGTGTGGCCTTGAACTCACAGAGATCCAGATAGATCCCTGCCTGTCAAGTGATAGGATTAAAGGCATGTGCTATAGTTGCCTGACTTCTTTGTTTACCCGCAATGGCTTTTCCTATTCCTCTGAATCCAGGCAAGCACAAATAAAATATCACCACATTTTAGCACAAATAAAATATCACCACAATTGAGTCAAGATTTAACTTTTTAAAGCAATGTTTTCTATTCAGTAAGTTTTAAGCTCAAAAATATTATCTACTAATCCTAAGAGCTTTATAAATAATTTCTTTTTGTTCAATATTTAAGAATAAAGGTTGCCAAATAGAACTGAACCTGAGAGAGAGGTTTGTGGGAAGAAGAAATATGGATGGAGTGATAGGATGTTAGATGTGAGAATGGACAGTATGCAAGGCATATGTATGCGGAATTGTGAAAAATAAATTAAATAAATAAGAAAGAAAGAGACGAATTAAAAACATAGAATACATTTTTGAAACCAAAGTTCAGTTCTTTTCATAAGACCTAGCTCTTTTTCCTTTGGATGTAATTTTTTGTCTCTCTGTGATGTGTCTGTCTGTTTCTTCCAGACATTTACATACAGAATTTTGTCTTTAAAGTTACTGAATACTGACTAACTGCTTTTTGAGGATTGGAGTCTTTAGAGCAAATATTTTGAGATAGATATTTGCTAGTAGTAAATTACCCAGAAGAGGCTTCTCAGGACCCTGCTGGAAGGAATACAGACTTGACAATACCTGATTCATCTCAGTAGGAAAACAACTGTTAGCTGGAAGTGTACAGTGCCATGGCAATGTGTTCTTCCCCTCCCTGCCTTAGAAATCTCAAGCATTTGAGATTGAAATGTCAAACAGACATTTACATCTCTTTCTGTGTTTGTCATTTGACTGCCCCTAGCATTCCCAGACTTGAGTGCTTGACCTTTTCCTTTAATAATTACATATGCAGAGATTTTTCCTATTTATGATAGGGTCGTATTTAATTAAAATATCACACCTTGACAATATGAACACTGGAAATACACTTAGTACCCCAATGTACTGAATGTCATGGTGGTAAAAGAGTTTTTAAAATCTATTTTACCCCACTGCTTTGTCACCCTTGATGACTTAATTGACCAGGAACTGCACTCCCTGTGATTGGCCAACATTAGAAGAAAACTTCCTAATTGTATATTGCTCTCTCAAGAGAAGGTCACAATTCAACCAAAATACTAGAGACCAAAACATCTGGGAAAAAAACATAAAACTAAACTCCTAGAATATTGGAACGGGACAAATTTTTTCTCTCTTAGTAGGTATAAAATCAAAGACACAAGTAATAAAATAAAATAACCAATAAACTTTACATTTTCTATAGGTAAAAATTTTATGTTTAAAATTATACCATTCAGACATTGAAAAGATAGCCCATATGATTGCAAATACATGTGCTCCTTATGAAAAAAAGCCATGAGAAATCCTTTAAAATGTCAGCAACCTTATTTCTTGTTATATGTATATACAACTCTTGATATAATCATTTCATTGATATTTATATTTATTTCAATGTTGTTCACAATAGGAAGGACATGAGATTAATCTCAGTTTCCAGCAACAAATGAGTGTATTATAAATTTGGTACTCACACCATCCTGAATTGAGAAAAGAAAACCCTCTCATTTGAAAGCATGTGAATAAATCTGATGGCACTATAAGTGAAATTAGTCACTCTTAGATGAAGATCGCATCTTCTAAATTATGTTTAGAATATAAACAATGTGAGTTCACAGATGTAAAGAACAGAACAGTGGTTACCAGACTCACTGTGTTGGGAATAGGGAGAGGAAACAATGTTTGTCAAGATATTTATTTATTTTTTGAGATAAGGTGTTATATAGCTCTCACTGGCACTGAACTTGCTAATATAGGCAAGGATTATCCCAGGCTATCAAATTCTCCTGGCTCCAACTCCTTAATTGTGGAATTATAAGCATATGCCACCATGGTCAGCTTTATGTAGTTGTTGGGACTAAATCCAGGACTATGTATGTCCTAAACAAGCATTATACCAACTAAACTACACCCCAATGACTGCAAAGTAAAATGCTTTATTTAGATTTGATGACTAAATTCTGGGTGTCTCCTGTACAATGTAGTGAATATGATTAAAAATGTATTATAAACTAAGAAATTACCAAGTTTATGCTTACATGTTTTCACAAAGAAAATAATTTTAAAAAGTAAATTATAAGTTTATTAGCTTCAGTTAACTTTTTCACAATTTATTCTTTTATCAACATTACATTGTATAACATACACATTTTGTCAACTATATTTTAATAATAATAGGAACTAAATCCCATTGCTGTAGTAAAATAAGTGAAACTGGAAGACATAACATTAAGCAAAATAAGTCAAACAAAAAGATACAAGAATCACAAATTTGGTTTCATCTAGAAATCAACAAACAAGTGAAATATGACTATAATAAAACCTCAGTGTTTCAAAGAAAAAATATAAATGCTACCAGAAACAAGATAAGTCATCTTTAAAATAGCAATGCTAAGACTTACAAGTTGTCATCTCAATCAATATGTGGAGGAAAAATAGAACAGAATAATTTTTCCAAAGCTCTGAAACAAAGATAATCTATATTTGGAATTTTCTATCATCAAAATAATACTAAATGAACATGAAATTAAATTATTTAGGGAAATACAGAAAAATTACCATATATGAAATTGTATAAAAGAAAACAGAATCTTGGGGTACAGGGAAGAAGAGACATTAAAATAGTACATATTTGGAAACACTTAGGTGAATGTTGAGCATATATGACAGTAAGCTAATGAACATAAAGTTGAACATGTATGAAAAATAGCTATAAAAGGATGATACATAAATCAGCTAATAAGTAGGTACACTAATTTTTTCAAAGACTATTAAAAGAAATAGATAAGGCTGCTAATTTATGTTATAGTTTCTAGTTGCATAAATACCACCAGGACAATGGCTATAGTTATGGTAGCCATGTATGCAATCATACTAAAATTATAATTGCAAAGCAGAAATTATTCTGAAGGACCAACTGTTTGAGTTGAATTAAATATATGTGTATACACACACACACACACACACACACACACACACACACACACACGATAATGAGCTGAATGGAAGGGATAGTAAAAGTAATAGTATAATAAGACTGATAAACTGTGGCAATAGAAATGTATGGCCTTTGGAAGAGTATAGTGACGTAAAGTATCATGATATACAAGGGTGTAAAGGAAAGGATGGCACTTTGTAAGCTGAGTGTGTTGGCTAGTTTAAAGCTTTGTAAATTTCAAAAAGTGAGAGAAAGTTTTATAGTCATCATTTCATCTTCAAAATCCCACAATTTTGAAACCAGCACTCAGAAAATTAGCACAGTAACATTGAGAATAGAAACTACAGGAAACATCAATTTTTGTAACAATAACAGGTGCATTGAAATATTATGCAAAACATCCACCAGGTCTCTGATGAAAGAAGAAAAAAGCATACATTATTAAAATAAAATTATTAGGAAATTGAGTCAGCAGAGAAAGAAACCAGTTGTATGTGTTGTGAAGTAGCATTAAAAGCCACATATTTAAATACTTAGAGCAGAATGTTTGTGCAGCTTCATATTGTGACATGACTTTTACTGCAAGGCATATTTCTGAGTGAACTGTGAGAGGAGCCTTTGGAGCCTCATGCAATTATATGCTATTCTTTTTCCTTTCCTTGTATTTGCAATAACATTTTTTTCACACGGTCATAGATTTGCTTGGTTCTCACCCCATATATGACAGGATTGAGCATTGGCGGCACTACAACATAAAGGTTGGCCAGAAGTATATGTATATAGCGAGGCACATTTCGACCAAAGCGGTGTGTCATGAAAGAAAAGAGAGCCGGTGTATAGAAGGCAAGAATGACACAGACATGAGAACCACAAGTGCTGAGGGACTTGATTCGGGCTTCCTGAGAAGGGAGATGAAACACAACACGTAGTATTTGTATGTAAGAAAGGGCAATAGCTACTATGTCAAACAGTAAATTACATATGGCACATAAGCCATAAATGATATTGGCCTTGACACTGGCACAAGACAGACGAGCAAGACCCATGTGTTCACAGTAGGTGTGAGGAATTATGCGATGCCCACAGAAAGGCAGTCTCAAAATCAGAAATATAAATGGAATAACAAAGATAATTGCCCTCACTAGCACAGCAAGACCAATCATAGAGACAACCTTGTTGGTGAGAATGATACTATAACGAAGTGGGTTGCAGATGGCCACATAGCGGTCATAAGCCATTGCCAAGAGGACTGCTGACTCCATAAGCGTGAATTTGTGGATGAAAAACATCTGTATAAGGCAATCCTCAAAGGTGATCTCTCTGAGATTAATCCAGAAGATCCCAAGCATCTTAGGAATGGTTGCTGTCGAGAGGCCCAAGTCAATGGTAGCCAACATTGCCAGAAAGTAGAACATGGGCTGGTGGAGGCTGCTCTCAGTTTTGATAACAAACAAGATGGTGAAGTTTCCTAAGAGAGCAATCATGTACACAACACAGAAGGGAAAGCCAATCCAAATGTGAAGAGTCTCTAGTCCTGGGATTCCCAGCAACAAGAAGGAGGAAGGGTGAAACTGGGTGTCATTGGGAAGGAGCATCCTATAGGAGAATGCATGAATCAGTCTTCAGAACTGTGTGTTTATCCAAGCTGCAGCTCTCAGGATAGATTTTTGAAACTGGAGACCTAGAGCTATTTTAAGTGATGCTATATATCCTGTTCATATTCATCTGGAAGCCATCATATCAATTTGAAATGCATCATGTACCAAGTCTTTTAGAATATTAACAAATCAAGCACAAGTCTTGGAGGAAGCTATACACTACACAGTAAATAAAAGTAAAATATTGATCATGTCATCATCTATTGTATAGTCATCCTTCTCTTTGAAATCACTAGCCTTATAACCAATCTAACCAATCTTTAAGAATTATTTTACACTAATACTGCCTTTTGTGAGTGTTTTGTTATTTCAACCATTTTTAATAAGAGAGCATCCTTGAATGTTAACGGACTTAGGCTTCTGCTAGTCCCTGAATATAGTACTAAAAATGACAGTATTGTGATGGTTAGTCAAGGCTGTCAGCTTGACTGGTTAAGAAACACCTGGATGATTACTAAAATTCACTCCCAGATGACGTTATGAACCAATCTCCAGACACTATTAAATCATAAGTATAAATGACATAGTAAAAGTTTAATTTATTGGTATATTATAAATTTGAATGCTTACCTGAGTTATACAAATAAATTATTATCCTCAAGCATGCAGATTCAACACAAAATCCTCCACAAACATTATAAAAACACACTATCCCTCTGAATATCTTAATATCATGCTAAATGTTATATATTAGCATCTTTAGTTCATAAGTGAAGCAGTCATAGATTTTGCAATCTAAGGGCTTGATCAGTGCACGATTTGTATCCAGAGAAGTATCTCAATGAATCCTATTAATTAGTACAGCAAATGTATTTTAATTTCTTTAAAAATGAGACTACAAGGAAGTACTATATTTATCTAATAAATGTTACCTGCACAGCTACATATAATACATCAATAATTCTTTTTTAATTTTTATATAAAATATTTTGATCATGTTTTTCACCTCTTCCAACTCTTCCCTGATTTAGCCCACAATTCTACCCACTCTTTTTGTTCTTTCTCCCCACTTCCCTTTCTGTATCTTTCTAAAAAGAAAGACAAGAAACCAAAACAAAACCAAAATAAAGAAAACCAAGAAACAAAACCCCCACAAAAAAAATCAAAATAGAAAGATTATGCAGAAATATTGTAATTGTATTATAATAATCAAAAAGTCTAAAAAGACAAAAATGCATTTAGTAGTTATTTAAAACTATAAGCATATTCTTTTCTCTATTTCCATATATTTAAATATAAATATTTCTGTCAAAGATCATCAAGCTGTGCTGTTTCTCATTGGTAGAAGGATTTTCTCAGCATGCTATTGCTCTGAATTCAAACCATAGCATTGCCATTTGTGTGTATATGATCTGTCTATCTATCTATCTATCTATCTATCTATCTATCTATCTATCTATCTATCTATCTGTCTGTCCATCTGTCTATCTCTACCTACCTACTTAGGTTATATGAAGTTTTTACTTGTCTATTCTACTACATACTAACAGTTCAAACCATCATTTCTTGAAACTGGTATAGTGTGATGATTTCAAATGCTTCAGAGTATGAAGTCTGCATCAGATTGATTGTCATAAAACTTAACTTTCTGAATAATTCAACCTATATTTGAAGGAAGTTAAGAGCAAATGTTACTTTCCACAAATAATTTAAATTTTTTAATTTATAACTATTTCTTGATATAGAAAATAGAGATAATTAAGCCAAACAAACATTAAACTTTAAATCTATTATATTTTTAGAATAAGTAATTTTTTTCAAAAGTAGTTTAAACTTTTTTTGCAAAGAAATGCTATCATTCACTAGACATTAAGCAGAATAATTTTTCTAAAAGGCACTGACTAGCCTCTTCTCGTAGTCTTATATGACCTCAATTAACCATCTCCTATTCTTTTCAAAAGCTCCATCTTCAGTCTCTGCCTCTAATAGACCCCATGTCCCCTATCCTTTCTTCTGTGTTCTCTAATTCCCTTTATATGTCTGCAAGCTAAAAAAGGGGAGACTCACCAGGCTGAGCCCCAGGATGGAATCTTGCCTTTGTTGTGTGTCATTCTGGCCTGCTTTTATCAGGGTTTTGCAATTTTTCAGGAAGTACCTTTCATTTCCTTTTCCCCTAGAGCCAGTATTATTTAAAAAAAAAAAAAAAAAAAAAACCAGGAAA